CTATATGTGTGCAAATGCTGTGCATAGCCATCGGCTCCACTGACACTTCCGGTCTGCGCTCTGCCATGACACGCGTCATGGCGCTGTACATTCGCGAGGCAAACAAGATCCTGCAGACGACGACTTTCCTGGATACGAGCGGGAGCAAACCGGAAGGCGTCCGCCTGGCCATTGGCACGGTGGTGACCTTTGTTACCGCCGTGGAGATGAAGGCGTTCTTTGGTGGCAAGACGAAGCTCGGAGAGGACTTCCTGGGTTCTGGCTCAGTGCTAGAAGAATGGTCAAAGGTACTGACAATGTCTATTGCTGCTGCTGCCGCTGCTGCCGCTGCTGCTCATTTCTCTTGCTCTCTTGAATGCGGCCAAGCAACTTGATTGGGGAATACATGTAGTGGTACTGAAGTTTAGTGAGCTGCTAACTGCAAGTATACGGTTTTTTTGCTGATTTTCTGCCGTGAAAGATGTATATCACAGCCGAGAGTAAATAGTTCTCCTGAGTACTTCCACCGAACTCTTGTGGCTACTCTTGTGGCTATTCATGTATGTTAGGCTCGAATCCCATCCCATTTGCTAAGGATTTAAAGTGTAGGGCTCACGTCCACCCTGTTCTGCAGTCCTAATGTTGGTCACAAAGGGAGAGGGGGGGGGGGGGGGTGCGACTTAAACCATATATACTCTGCTGGTGAACACAGCAACCTTGTCTTTCATGGGCTTTACCCACATCACATTATTATTATTTATTTCTATCACCTGTCCTGTGGAGCCACTGCCTCAAGGGTCACTTGGGCCCTGGAGGGGAACAGGGAAAGGAGAAGAATGCGGTTCCGCGACACTCCGGGAAACAAAACAAGAGTACGCCTGGTGTAGGGCCATTGGCAATTGCGACCACAATGTCATCGGATGACCCGGGAAGTACTGAAGCAGGGGTGTGTATTCCTACCCTTGACCGAACAAAAACAGTAGTCACAATATGCACAGTGTGCACCGCAACAGGATTCCATGGTGGTTGAGGGCAAGGACGCACACTTGTGGCAGGTCAGACCTGCATGTACATGACATTGTACACTATGTCAAAGGTTGTTCTCTCTGTCTCTCTGTCTTTCTCTCCTCCCCCCCCCCCCCCCTCTCTCTCTCTCTCCCCATGTTCAGGAAAACTGGGGCTCATTCTGCCTCTCACACCTGTTCACCAACCGACAGTTTTCTGGTGGAATTCTCGGCCTGGCGTATGTCGGCGGCGTCTGCACCAAGTTTAGCACTACGAGAAAGCAGTCGACGAACACTGGTCTCGTGACACTGACCAACGAAGGCAACCGCCTTCCCTCCTCGATGTCCTGGCTTGTCTATCTGCACGAAGTTGGCCATAACCTGGGTGCTAAGGTGAGTGAGAAGCGGGGTCATGCCACATGCTGTCGAATGTATTCGCCCTGCTGCGGGCACAGAAACGTATCCACCCTGGTACAGTCGACCTACCCGTATAACAATATTTGCATCAGACCAAGAATTATTGTTATACGGGTAATATTGTTATAAGGGTAACTGGTTCATTTCAAACACGGACGTCTTAATGCATGATTTTGTTCATTTTTTACACTCTTCATAGCATAAAAAACTGATGTACATGTGCATTATGTACGCAGCAAGGTGCCCACTGGTGCCCCCATTGTATTTCATCATGTCCCAGCAACTTATCAAGTGAAGCTTGCCCTACCTGGATAGTGGGCTCTATATATTCCCTGCTAGATATTGTTATAAAATGGAAAATGTCGATTGGTCGGCCCATTTTATATCGTTATAGGAGTAATATCGTTATAGCAATATTGTCATACTTGTAGAGGTAAGACATGATTGTATACAAAGGTCAATGGAGTGATTTGGTTTGGCAGAAAAATATCGTTATAAGGGTAGTATCGTTATAGAGGTTATCGTTATAACGGTAGGTCGACTGCACGTGAACATGTGCACAAACTTGTCCATCCTGGTACTGTAGCGGACATTGATTTCCGTTGAGAAGCGGCGCTGGCCTTGCAGCCTTGAGCACAGCTGGTCCATTTTTACAGTGTGTATGTGAGCTACAGTGCATGTACTCTAGTACACGCACTGTAGCTGTAAAGGCGCTAGCCCTGGTCATCCCATCAGATTTCAACGTCCACGACAGTACATGTGCAAAAGCTTATCCACCCTGGTCCACGTGCAAACACGTGCTCACCCCTGCTACACGTGCATTCTACCTTTCCGCTGGATTTATCAATGAAGTGTGATTATCGTTTGTGCATGTGTGTGTGTGTGTGTGTGTGTGTGTGTGTGTGTGTGTGTGTGTATGTGCATAACTGTGTATGTGCGTAACTGTGCTTGTGTGTAACTGTGTTTGTTGCGCTGCAGCATGACAAGGCTGCGGAGTGTCTGCCGACCGACAGCAAGGGAGGCAAGTACATCATGTTTGAGAATGCCAACGACGGCTCACTGGCCAACAACAGGATGTTCTCGTCGTGCAGCAAGACCAG